CAAAGTGTAGCATTGTTTCCGATCGAGAAGGGAGGAGGGCAACGATTACGCACGAGAGAAACTATTATTTTTCACCCCTCCCTTCCATTCGAGTGTCTCTCATAGAGGAAGGAGCGGAAAGGCACGCGTAAAGGTACAAGAATCGAGCATAGAGTCTCGAAGCATAGAAGAGAAACCTCCTGTTTGAGAGGAAAGAGTTGCTTTTGTTGGCAATCCCTTCGAGGTTGCCGATCGGTTTCGATAAATCGTTCACGCGATGGGCAATTTCTCGAATACTATTACGTTGCGTAATAGAAGAGAAATAATAAAATGAAGTGGTGGCGAGCGAGAGGCCCTCGACGGAGTGGCGCATATGTATATTTGGCATTGTAACACTGGTGGTGAGTCGAGAACGATTGGAAAGTCCCTAGTGGAGAGGAAGTGGCGACGTTTAGTTAAGTGCGGCGGCCATTATCGGTGTTAATAATGCCGCTCGCCACTCGTGCTGCATTCGCGACCATTACCCGCCAGCTTTTTCTTTTCACCGTCGTCGTTGCATGACTTTGGAGCTCAACGTTTCCTCGATCTCTCTCTCTCTCTCTCTCTCTCTCTCTTCTCCAGGTTGGGTACGTTTTAACGGTCTCGCGAACGACCGTTTTACACCCCACAGCTTTACGAACTCTCATTATTCTTCTTCCTCCTTCGCGAGAAATTCTACTCGCCAACGACTCGAGCGACCGTGATATCGGAGACCCTCTGTTTATTAACAAACGGACGGATTTTTGTGAAATTTACCCGAAGAAAAGTCGATCGAACTCTATTAAAATTAGAAAAAGTTTGAATCGCTGTAACTCCGAAGATAATAAATTGCGGCGAACGAGTGAACGATAGTTGGAAGCGCGGAATCCTGCGCTTTAAAACGCCTTTTCGTTTATCCCGATACGACTTCCGGTTTCCGAGATATCGTCGTGTAAAGAAAAGTGTAATTTTTAACCGTTTTAAACTTTAACCGGATCGAATCTTATAATTAAAATTAGAGAAACTTTGAATAGCTGTAACTTCGAACGTGATAACTTTCGATCAACGAATCAACGATCGTTGGAAGCGTGGAAGCTTGCGCATTAAAACGCTTTTTCGTTTATCCCGATACGACTTCCGGTTTCCGAGATATCGTCGCGTAAAGAAAAGTGTAATTTTTGACCGTTTGCTATCTTCTCGGGCCTCTCGTTCGCACCTCTCGTTTCGTCATTGACCTATCCCAACTTGCAGACAAGTGGCAGACAAACGTAAAAAGAAAACATAAAAAACGTATTACGCGTTCCAAGAAAAAGATAATAGAAAAAGATAAGTCACTGAATCCATTCATAATATTAACGCGTATCTTAAACATAGACACTTTGAATTATATTTGTATCTTGGCAACGGATTGAGATATCGGGATAAAACAAAAACTGATTTCAATGGTATGGCTTCGTCTCACTTTTTTCAATGGATGACAAAATTTCTTTTCACAAGAAAAATCAAAGTTTTTCACTCGTGATTTTGCAATGAACGTAAAAGTTAAATTTATCTAATTTCATGCTTTTAAATTTATACTTTCTATATAATAATAATAATAATAATAATAATAAACACGATTTCTAAATGGATTAAATTAACTATTAAGCGGAGTAAAAATTGTAATTGTTTAATACTATTACGTTTCGCGTATATTACACACCATATATTTGAATCGTGTCGAGGATATATTTAAAAGCTTAGAGAATGGAAATAATTTTTTCATTTTTTTCATTTTGCGTAATAAATTTCCCGATGTCTCGAGAAAGGAAAGATTCAGCGACAGATGTTGGAAGCGAGAAAGAAGAGTGGAGTAACGTTGGTGGAGGGGAATCCGTCCCATCCATCCAGCTTCTCTTAGTCTTTCGCCCCAACCAAATCTCTCGTATCGTTGTTCAACGTATTATCCACCAACCCGAGTTTAAGCCCGCTCAAGCGCGATGGCCGACTTCATCTTCGTGCTTCTACCATCCTCGCGTAACCATCCTCTTTTCTAATTAAAATACTACTAATCTTACTAAAAAAAAAAAAAATTAACGCGTTACAAAATTGTGGAAATTATATATCAATCAATTAACTTTATCGTTAAAAAATCGAAGATTATATTTTTCCTCGAGATATGTTTGTCTCAAAAAAAAAGAAAGAAAGAAAGAAATCAAAGTTCTCTTTTCCAAATTTATTTTTTTCTTAGTAGTCTTAAACGTATAATATATATTCGGAGAAATGCAAAAGATTATCGCTTAAATATATATACGTATACGTGTATACCAACGATGTTCAAAAATAAAAAAAAATAAAAAAAAAATAAAAATGCAAAATCTCAACCTCGAAAATTCGCAAAGCACGAGCCGAAAGAATGAAAAAGAATAAAACAAAAAGAGAGAGAGAGAGGGAGGGGGGAGAAGAAAAAAAGAACGCGGAAGAATCGAGAGAAACAATCGGCTGGATAAAAACGAGGGAAACTAGGACAAACGAAGTGTAAACTGCGAGAGGAGTAGAGAAAAAGAGAGAGAGAGAAAGAGAGAGAGAGGAAGAGAAAAAGAAAAAAAGAGAGAGAGAGAGAGAGAGGAAGGAAAGAA